TGTGCAGGTGCTCCGGGGTCATCTCGCCCTCTGCCACCCTCTCCCCCTCATCTCATCGTGCCACGGGCAGCCAGGCAGAGCCCACTTCCAGAGCTGCCCAGGCCCCAGTCATCCCCCCACCCCCCAACGCATGCACCGCAAATATCTTTGCCTTAGAGGCCCAATGAATAATTTTTCATCTTCTAATGCTGTGATCAATCAGCTCTTGCACCAGAAAGCAGCAGCAGGAGGAGGCTGGGACAGGCCGAGGTTAAGTCATGGCAGGTCTCAATAGCCCAGGAAGAGTCAATTAGAAAACAGAGAGGCTCAGGCCCAGGACAGCCCCTCGATGCCCAGAGCTTGCTGCCGAGCAAAACACAGGAGCATAGAAAAGAAGAGGGTGCTGAAAAAAAAAAACAACACGAGGCAGGAGTCCAATAAAACTATGTTTATAAATAAAAACAAGGAGACTGGTTTTGTTTTTATAAAACCCAGAGGGCAGGGCAGGGCAGGGCAGGGCAGTGAGCAGTGGTCAGGGGAGGCTGCTGGGTGGCATTACGAAAGGCAGGAGAAGGGACAAGCAGCAGCTTGCCAGCACCAAGATCAGGGGACAGGAAGATGGCAGAGACTGGGCAAATTGGCACCAGCAGGCACAGGAAGAGGAGAGGCTTAGGGAGTCATAGGGAGATGAACTGGTGGCACACAGGAGCTGGCAGAGGGGGTGCAGGCACAACGCAGACCCCAGAGGAGCAAAATACATTTCATCTCCAAAATATAAAAAATTCAAACATAAGAAAGAAAGGCTGAAGGAGGCAACACTGTTGCAGAGAAAGCCATGGTCAGCAATATGAGAGGGCGCCAAGACCAACGGGAGCAGGGTCCAATGCATCCCTACCGTACCGTGCTCAGCCCCAGGCTCTGAGGAGGAGGCCGCCCCCCACCCCCTAACCCAAGGCACATCTCCTTCCCACACCACTCTTGTAGAGTGGAAGAAAGGCTCCACACACCCCAAAGAGGAGGAAAAAACAGAAGGGAGCATCAGAGCAAACGGACTCAATTGCCATCGCAATCCTCTGTGGGCACTGAGCCCAGGGCCCTGCATTCAACACCACAGTCCTTAATTCACAGGAGGGTTTGCGTCTCTTTAGGGAGCCACTTGCATCTAGGCTGGAGCGGGGCAGGCCCAGCTCTGCAGCTTTCTGGGCCCAGAGCCCCTTCCCTCCCCTCGACAGGCCAGCAGAGCTCATCCCGGGGGAGCAGAGGGTGCGGCTGGCCAGCGAACACAGGAGATCTCCACTTTCCCCAAAAGAATGAAAGCGGACCAGAAGTGCCCCTCCCTCACCCTCTAGCTCTGTCCAGGCCACCCACACATCAGCATTGACTGTGGGAGATGTTACATTGCTGAAGGGAAGCGCAGCAGAGCAGGAGGGGGAAGGCCCCAGCTGCAGACACTGGCCCCAGGCGAGGGGCAGCCCCTACACAGGAGACAGGCAGCAGGGTGTGCTAGGCAGGAGGGCAACGCCTGGGCCTCTGCACCCCCTTTGGCAGAGCAAGCAGAGCTCTGCCCTTACATTCACACCCGTGCACACCACACACCCCCCCAGGCCTCGACCGGACATGTTTAGGTACCCAGCGCCAGTCAGGGTCGGATGCCGGAGGAACGGACCCAATCTCAAGTCTCGCTGTCAGGGAAGCAGGCAGGAGGGTTCTGCCATAGGGTAGCGCCAGGCTCAGATTTGGCCCAAGGAGCGGCAAGGGGAGGGAGGCTAAGGGAAAGTGGCACCATCCCTCCACTCCCTAGAGGCAGTGAAGCCCTGGAACATTCATGCATTAGCCAAAAGGCAATTACACTTGGATTTAAACACATATAAGGCCAGAGCTGGGCGCTGCTCCCCTCTCAGTGCTGCGGAAAGGGCAGGGAGTCTTCCGCTAGGGGGAGAAAAGAAGACATCTTCAGCACCATGCGTGCCCAGCGCCCTTGGAGCTCCGTGTCCTCCTGTCGGGCCACGCCACGCTCCAGCTCTCCCCCCTGCGGGCGGCAGGCTCAGAGAAAGTCAAACACCCCGTAATTCTTTGCTGCTTGATAGAAGAAACACAAAAGGGTGAAAAGAAAGAAGAGATGTTTAGGGCAGAAGGACTGCGGCAGCAGCAACACACGGGCAAGCAGCACAGGGCGCTGGGATGGATGCAGATTAATGGGGTTAGAGAGGACGGCAGGAGGGAATTACCATCGGCAATACACAAGTCTGGTGGCAGGATGGGCTGGCAGAGCTCAGCAGGCCTGCCAGGCCCCTCCACCCCGCTCGAGGAGGGATTAGAATCAAGGTTTAGTTCCATTTATTTTTTTCCCTTTTTTTTCTTTTAGTTATCAAGACCAAAAAAAAAAAAAGACCCATAAAAACAAGGGGTGAAGCTGGGGCTGGTCCTAGGAGACAAACGACTGGGGATGGAAGGGGGAAGGAGGGGCAGCAGACAGACAGGGGACGGGCGCTTCACATTACATCCACAAAGAACTCACTGGGGTTGCCCATGGCCATTCGGAAGGACTGTCTACTGGCTGTCAGTTCTGGGGGCACAGAGGCCAGGGCACGGCCCGGCCGGGGCCCCGGGGGGCCCCTCGCTCGAGATTTTTTTTCTGCTGGCGGTGGTGGCTGCGGATACTGTGAGCCAGGGAGTGCTGGCTGCGCTGGCTGTGCTGGCTGGCAGGCACCGAGCGCTCACTGGCCGCACGCTCACACCTCATGCTGCTCCGGGTGGTGTGGTCCGACTCGCTCCCGCTGCCACCTGACTTGGACTCTCCAGTCTTCTCTCTCTCCTTCCTCCTCTCGCTGCCGCTGCGATTGGAACCACTGCTCCGGCTCCCTGCAAAACACACGGGGCAAGGTTAGGCAACACATCAGATAAACCAGGAAGAAAGAATCCTCTGCTCCCCACCAAGACAGGACTACAACACACTGCAGCACAGCTACCAGACTGCACAGTCCATGGTCTCACTCTCCGTTCAACTCTAATCCCATAACCCCTGTGGGATTCCTCTGAATGAAGGCTTTGATCTGGCTCCCCCATGCATACAGCCTTGCCTAAGGGACTAGCCTGTTCCCGCAGCTTCCCCCAAGTGAACAGGGCACCTGCTCAGCTCTACAGGCACATGTGGGTCCCTTTCACTCACCTTCACTGTGCTGGCTGCCTGCACTGCCCCCTCCATAGCTGTAGCCTGGGTCAGGGAAGCCGGGGTGGGGGTTGTATGGATGAGGTGGTGGATACTGATATGGGAAAGCCATAGGCCAGGGTGCGGCTCCCGGGTGTGGGAGCGGAGCCAAAGTGTCCTGATCGGAGGCACCGCTGGAGCCATCATGATCATGAAGAGACAGGTTAGCCATGTCTGCAGGAAAGTAGAGAACAGGGGTTAATCCGAGTGGAAAGATAGCCACGTGTGATGAAACAGCATCATGTCCACCCTTGTCGACAGGCAGCGATGCGGTACACAAGGAGGTAAGAGAAGCTGGCACCCTCCCTGTTAAGCAGTACAGCCACGTGTGCCTCCTGCAGGGACAGCATCCAGGCTGCGAGACTCGGAGCTGTCACTCCGAGACAGAAACAAGCTCAGAGGGAAAGGACCACATCAGAGCTAGAGCTTGCCTTGCCAATTAGTCTCATCCATCCTTCTCATTTGAGCAGAACCTAGCTGTCAAGAGCACCGCTCCCTTGCCAGCAGTGAAAGCTCAGAGCCTGGAGCCAAGTACAGTCAGAAAAGGCTAAGACTCTACTTTGGCTGCCCAGGCAAAAAGACTGCGTGGCACACGATAGTGTCAACAACGCTCCCAAATTCACAGCCCCAGCAAGCATGACAAGGGTGCTGGGACATTTTTCACTGCTCTCTAAAGAGAGCTGTACAACAAGGGGCCAAGTCTGACAGCAAAGGCTGTGCCAATGTCCCTGGGTGTCAGCAGGGCTCTGCCACACCAACCTCTCCCTTCCCGCCCATGCCAAGCCCAGAGTTAAGTGCCATACTGCCACAGAGGTCCCCGAAGATGTAGTAACACTGTTCGGAGAAGGTGATCTTGTTCACAGTATGTCGGATGTAGCCAGCCTTCAGCAGATTGCTGGCATACTTGCGGGATTCACGACGGTCTGTGAAGCCCTCCACATGATGATACAGCCAATCCACCACATCTGAACCTGCCACAAAACATCAGGGTTAAACACAGCAAGAGAGAGGATAGCATCCCTTGAAGCAGAGTGGGCCAGGCTAGAGTCAAGACAAAGTGGGCCCAAAGATGAAAAGGGACTGCACAGCCAGGGGTTCAGCTTGTGACCCTAGTCTGGGTCAACAGTTATTTTACACTGACATAGATGCTCCCTTTATGAGCATTTGCTTGGGAAACAGGCCACCCGTTCCCCACTCCCTGCCTTTGCTGGAGGCAGCACAGGCTCTTACCAATGAAGGCATTAGGGATGGTGATCTTCAGCCACATGCGGTCACGCACCTCCAGGCCTGACTCGGGTGAGGCCATGGCTTTGACAATGGTGGCCATGTCACTGTGGATGGACAGGTGAAAATCATCGAGGCCTGTGGCGTGGACAGAGGAAAGGGGAGCAGAGATGAGAGGGGACAGAAGAGACCACAGGGCCACATGGAAGCATCACACACAGGAGGAATGGGCCAGGGAACAATACATTGCAGACAGCCCTGGGGTGCATGCTGGCCTAACCTCCATTCCAGCCTTCCAATGTTACTCTTTGCCTGTGAGCTGTTTCCTCTTGCACAAACACAGGCTACAATCTCCTTCCACCCAGGCCCAAGCAAATGAGATCCAAAAGCTGCCATCTCAGCCCACACGGCTCAGCAAGGGAGTTTACTGCTCCTTACAAAGTTACAGCAAGCTCCTGGCCTCTTGCCCCTGCTCAGAGCTCTCTAGACAATTGCTTCTGGGTTCTGTTTACTAGAATCACCCAAAACCTTCAGAAACAGCCCTCTGCTCAGCAGGTCTCCGCTCCACTGCAAGGTTCCCTGCTCCCAAAAGCCTTCTCCATCCTGCCCTACCTGCTGCCTGAGCACACCTTGTTCCAGGGCAAACCTACGCCCCTCTGGCCCTGCACTCTCAGCTGGGAATCCCAGATTGCTCCCTGAGCCTCTCCTCCACGCCTGCCACAGCTCCTGGATTGTGTCCAGGCTCTCCTATTCTCCTTAAGTAGAAATCAAGAAATATGGCACTAACTCTCCCAGCCAGAACTCCTGCTGATCTATGCACCTGCCTGGTGAGAGCTCTCTCTCTCTCTCTGCTCTAGTCCCTTGGCTTGGGAGACCTTCCCCATGCAGAAGTATTGCTCCCATTAGGGCACAGCGTAGGTGAGGAAGCCGTGCAGCGCAGGGAGCGCGGAGGCACGAGGACTTACGTTCGGTCTCTGGGATGGAGCTGGTGATGGAGGAGCTGGTGGAAGTGATTGTGCTCATGGATGGACTCATACCGTACGCTGGGTAGGTGCCGGTCATCGCTGCTGTGTGGGACACCCAGGCTGCCGGGTCAATGGGCCGGATGGGCTCACCTGCAGTAAAGAGAAAGTCAGTCAGTAGCTATCAGAAATCATCCCCTCATCAAATCCACCTCTTGGGGGGGGGGCGGGGACTCAGCACAGCCCATTCCATCCCCAGCATCTGCCGGGACTCACCCGGATCGGAGCATGGAGAGTCTGGCCCAGCCCAGATCCGCTGGGGAGCAACTGGGAGAGAAAGAAGAGAGGGAGGGTCAGCAGGAGAGGTGCAGAGGGAGAGATCCCCCTATGGCTGAGGGGGGTGTTTCTCTGTCCTCTGGCGCTCTGAGCAAGTGACCCCCCTGCCCCAGTGAAACGCGTCCCCAGCGTGATGTGGGAAGGAGGGCTGGGCTTATGGGCATTTTGGCTTGGGAATAGGATACTGTGGCCTCCTAGCAGGAGAGCTGAACCCCCATCAAACCCCATTTCAGTGCCACACGGCATTACACACACACACAAAGGAGAAGAACAAGACAACAATCAAGTAAGTGCTCAAGGCAGGGCTCTCACATGGGCTGGGCACCAGCGTTAAGGGTGGGTCAGCTATCCACTTACTCCTAGGTAACGAGAAGCAGCCCCGGGGGCTGGGGTCCCAACACTTGGCAACAGTCAGGGTGATGGGCCTGCAGCAAAAAGGTAAGAGTTAGAACAAGCGCTCAGTGGCACAACCCCCTGTGAGACCCAAGGAGGATGCTGTATGTGGGCTCTCTCCTCCTGGGGGACAGGAAAGTAGCCAGGACAAGTGCTGCCCTTATCCCCCCGCCAGCTACGGATTTCCCTAGTGGCATGGCCAAAAAAATGGGGTAGGCAGTAGGAGCTACAACCCTCCTCTTAGCCAAGCCAAGCAAAAAGGTGACACAGCATCTCCAAAAGTCAGGAAGTGGCCCCCCAGTTCACCACAACTGGGTTGGCTCCATTTCTTGCTTTGGACGTCAAAACCCAGGAACAAAAGCAATACTAGAAACCTAAGTTCTGGGTCCTTGCAGTCTCAGAGCTGCTGGCAGAGACAGCTGGGGAAACACAACCCGCAGACCCAAAGGACATGCCATACAGCTGCCCACGGAAGTGAGAAGCAACCCAGAGTACCTACCCAGGCTTGTGCACAATCTCTCTCAGCACCCGTACAGCATCATCGTTGCTCATGTTTTCAAAGTTGATGTCATTCACCTGCAAACAATGCAAAGGGGTGAGTCCCAAAGATGTGGCCAGAGGCTGAGCTCCCCACTCAGCTCAGCAGTGACTCAGCTTCCTCCTTCCAAGAGCAGCTTCCCGGGTTTAGTCTGCCAAAATGTGCAAGGAGGCTTCTGGGTCTTTCTCTACTGCTCTCCCAGGCTCAACAATGGGAGTATGTGGGTGCAAAGTACCTGCAAGAGCATGTCTCCAGGCTCAATCCTGCCATCAGCTGCCACAGCACCGCCTTTCATGATAGAGCCGATGTAAATGCCTCCATCTCCACGCTCATTGCTCTGTCCCACAATGGAAATGCCCAGGAAGTTGTATTTCTCTGTAGGGATGGAAGGAGAATGAAATATAACATCATAAAGCAGGAGGCACAAGCAGCCCTAACCTCAGAGAAACCATATGCTAATCACGGTCACTTGCACACCTCTGTCCTGGAGAGACCTCTTAGGACATGACAAAACTCTTGAGAGAGCAGTGCTTCAGCACAAGCCACTTTCCCAAAGAATCCGTCTCCTCATCCCTCCTTGTACGTTCTCTCCTTGCCCCTTCCTCGGTTCCCCGCTCCACTACCCAACCTCACTCTGTAAGGGCTGCAGGCTCTGGTCATGCCTCAACTCACCCATGTTAAGCGTGACAGTGATGATGTTCAGGGACATGGTGGAGTCTGTGATGCTGCTGAAGGACGATGACTGCAACACAAGCGAAACAAGGGATGTCTACCTGTGCCTTGGTACCATTCCCAGCCCCTGCTCCCTCCACACGTGCTCCCCACAACCCCTGTGGCACCAGAGCCACCAACCCCAGCTCCAGCCTAACAGTGGGAGCTTTGCAGAGCTGGGGAACATCAGCCACAGCTCTTACGACCTCTCCACAGCCAGGATGAGGTCTGTAGTCCCAGCTCTTAATGCTGCACTGGCTTGGAAAGGGTTTATAGGATTCTATAGAAGTCTCTCTTGACTTAAGAGTCAACCTATGTCAAAGGAAAAACGCGCGCACAGCAAACACAGCTGAATCCCTATCAGCCCTGGAGAGATCCACCTGGCAGCCCACTCTGCCCTACACTGCCTTCCCCAGAATAGCCAGTCCTCATGTACCCGCTCAATCCGCGGAGCCTTCTGTTTCCGCCTGCGTCGCTTGTGCCTCCTCATCAGACGGGAAGCACTGCTTTGCTCTGTTGAACTGCTAAACCTAGAGGCAAAAGCAAGAGTCAGCTCTTCTCTCACTGTCGGGCAGCTCTGGCAGCACGAGAACCACAGAAAAGGGCATAGAGAATAGAGGACTAGAGGACTCCAGGGGCAGAGAGGCAGGGTGACATACAGGGGACAGGTGATAGCAGAGAGGGCTGCTGGGTGAGATTCAAGACAACGGCCGGTCTGAACAAGGACCCCAGAACTACTGTGCTCTGTGCTGGCACCTCTCTGGGTTGGAAGGCAAGGGGAAGCCAGCGTTCCTCCAGGCCCTAAGCTCTCCTACCTGCTGGTGGAGTCATCTTCGTCTGAGTCGAAGAAGCTGGTGGTCTCCAGCTCACTGCTCATGAGTGTGGAGGAGCTCTCGTACCCGCCCAGGTCTCGGCGCCGCTCTCCCTTCACCGTCCCGTTCACCCTAGGTGCTAGGAAGCAACCAGATTCAGTGTGCTTAAGAGAGCAAACAGGGAATCCCTCACCTCAGGGCCTACGGCAGCCCCCTCAGAAGGAGTCTGGCCATAAGACAACCCCAGCTAGTGCAGGCTGGCTCCAAGTCCACATGGGCATTAGATCCATCTCCTGTGGGATACCTCTTTGACCCTGCTAGAAGATGGGGAAGAGACTGACGGGCCAATCAGGAATAAGGCTGCTAAGTCGAGGAAGGCTGTTGCAGCTGGTCCTTGGCAGACCAAGGACTAGCACGGAGAATAGGAAGGCTACTGCCCACAGCACTTTTCACCGGGAAGGACTAAGGCTCTTCTGTCTCTCTCCCACTCCTGACGTTTCTATGAGAGCACCAAACTGATGCCACATAGGGGCTAGCTCCTACCTCCAAGATGAGGCTATAGCCTCAGGCCATCGAACAGCCCTTCCGAGCTGAGAAGGTTCCGCAGAGCGGACAGAGTGGCCCCATGTCTGTGACTAGTGCCTCCCACCGTACCCCAGCCATGCCCTGCTGAGCTCTGGCCACAACGTCAACACTCACCATGCTCAGGGCCATCTTTCCGACGAGGTCGTTCCCTCTGCGATGACACCACCGAGTCTGTCTCTGTCTCATTGTCCAGGTTTTCCCTACTCCCTCCGGTGTTAGGGCTGTGATGAGATAAAAGGCACAAACGTGTCCAGCTGGGAATGGCATAAGCAGGCTCTTTCCACCTCTGCACTGGTAGGTGCCTACCTCCAGCCATCAGCTGTCTCCCTCTTCTGAGGGACAGGAGCAGAGGTGGTGGGGAACAATGACAACCCATCTATGCATGCAGGACAATGGGCTGGGGGAAGCTGTGTCAGCTCTTTGCCAACTACCCTATACTGCTTTCAGCGTGCTCTTGCTCGTTAAATGATAGAGCTCCACTTCAAATCCGCTTCCAGCCTCATCATCAGGCCCTCTGGTTGGCTGTGATCCCTGCCAATTTGGATAGGGACACCCCAGTATCTGGTCTTCCCATCCCAATTGGGAGCAAAGTCACTGCGGTCCTAAGGAAACCAGGACGTGTGACCAGGTAACTTACTGGAAGGAGGGGGGCCTGGAGTCCCCAATTCCTCCTGTGCGCTCCATGGAGGGTGGCAGCTCTGTTTGGTTATCAGCACAGACTGACCCAGCATCTGAGTGTGACCCCTCTGCAGACACCAACTAGAGGGATGAGAGACAGAGAGTGAAATGGCTGAGGAAGCAGGAAAACATTTACAAGTAATAACATCTGAATGGCCAAACGAGTCAGCCATAAAGCCTGTCTGGCCTAGTACCTCATCTCTGAGGGAGGCCAACAGCAGGTGCCCAGGAAAGGGTACAGGAAGAGGCCAAGCACATAGCAACATCTGCCCTCAACATGCTCCCAGCCTCCATCTATTTGTCATTTGTCTATTCCTCAAGGAATTCCTGAGCAGTGAAATACAGGTGGCTAACAGCCCTGCTTGGAGTTTCTGCCATCAGTCTCCACACTTGCACCGCACAACCTTTGAGCTCAGATAAGCTTTAGCAAGTGTCCTGTGGCAGGGAGGGGATTCTCCCTAGTTCTTACATCAGAAGAGAAAGCAATCAGTTATTCCTTCGTTGACCTTCTCTTGATTTTATTGGCCTCTACAACTTTGTCCTCAAGCCATGAGATCGAGCAGGTTTTTCACCTTCCCAGCTTCCTTGGTCCTTGGTCCAGGACCAAGGCTGGCCTTGAAGTAGACTCCAGCATGCTGTCTTCTGGGTTCCACAAAACCTTTTCAAACTTTCAACTTGTGTCCACCTGAGTGGCTTGGGCACAGTCTCCAGTCATCCTCTGGTAAGCTCAGCATCTTTCCCAGTGCAGAAATTCGAGCAAGTCTCAAAGCCCAGGAACTATTTACACCAGCAATGCTTTCGGGCAGCCCAGGCACACCTACCTCTGGGCCGCTGGCTCTTAACGTAAACCAGCTATTTCCCTGGGCTCAGGGAATGGGACACAGTGAACGGGCTAGCTAATAGAAAGAAACAGTTTAAGTTCAAATGAGCTCAATGGAAAGTAGCTCCCCTAACCCCAGCCAGGTTTGCGTTCTCACCACTGCCCAGCTGTGTTCAACAGGGCTAATTCCCACAGGTCCTGGCAGGAAAGCAACTAAACACCATTCCTTTACAAGGGTCATAAAGGGCATCCAAAGCAGAGATGAAAGGGCCCAAAAAGGAGCTCTCCCTTGGCCAAGGAGTAAGTTCCCAGGGAAAAGGTGGAGCACGTGAGCAAGGGAAAGTCAATTTCCATCTTCAAGGACTTCCCAATGCATCCTTTCATTCCTGCACTTGTCTGTCCCATGCCTGTTCCCTGCAAAGCACGGGCACTGGAAAGCAGGGGGATTAGCTCTCTCCTAGTGTCAAGGAAGGACTGGAAGGCCCAGCACCTTGATCTGACCCAGACAGAACAGGCTGTGGGTCAGCCTGGAGCCAGCCCAGTAAGGCAAGACGACCACGGCAGGAGTCAGGCCTCAGTCTATGTACTTGAACCAGCTGCCTACTCATGTAATGAAGGAGAGGTCTAATTTAACACAAGTAAGGATGTGCCACCATAGGTGAGGACAAAGAGTCAGAAGGACCACGGAGTGAGGGCTGGAAAGAAGCTGATGAGCTGATACCTGCTCACCATACTGTAAAGGCCAGTGGAAATCCAGAGGCAGCTCTGCCACCTGTTGGTGGGGGAACCACATGTGTAGCAAGGAAGCGGGAGCAGCTGCCAGCCAGACAGGAGGAGGCAGAGCCCCTGTTTCTAGAGATTCTGGGCACTTTCCAGAATCACAGATGAAACAGTATGAGCCATGCCCTGCCCAACTCTGAGAACTGGGGAAATGGTGAAAAGGCGGGGGGGGGGGGGGAGGCAAAAAAACCCCACAGATTATCATCAAGGCAGGGAAAGAAAGGTCTGTTGCCAGGGAGGCACTGGGAACAGAGACAGGGATGCAGCTGGAGCAAGGAGGACAGAGTAGCCCCAAGAAAGCCCCAGCAGAGGGAACAGACAAGGCAGAGAGCACCCTGGGGTGTTAAAAGCTGCAGAGCCCGTCCTGCAGGCCCCAGGACAAGCCCAACAGCTCCTGCTCTCACAACTGTCTAACTAGCTCTTGTCTTGCTCTCAGCTCAGCTTCCCTCCCTCCAGCAAGCCCCAGGCACAAGCCCAGCTCTGCTCCCAGCACCTTCCCAGTGGCATGTCTTCCCAGGACACATCCCACTCCCTGGGGGGCCACATCCCTGCTCTGGTAGATGCTGCCTGGGAGCACAAGGGGAGAAGAGATGCTGGCAGTGGCCAGCGTTGCCTAGGGAAAATTCATAATGCTCTGCGCCTGAAGATCTCTGGATGAGACCAGGCAAATAAGTCTGGACACAAGCTGCAGGCTAGCTATCAGGGAGCTACTGGGAGGGAGAAGAGGGGGTGTTCCCAAGCAGGGGTTCTGATGTTGCCTTCCTCCAAAACTCCTGGGGCTAGGATTTCCTCCAGGGAAGGTTTCAATAACCACCCTATGCTTTTCCTGCCCCTTTTACTGTCAGGAAATACTTGCTCTGATCCAACACCCCCCCTCCCCCCAATCTTTCCCTCTCACTAAAATAAGTGCCAAGTTTCTAAAACAGTCTCATTCCAGCCTGTCTGGCAGAAACAGCAAAGCAAACGTTTCCCCCATCCCCAAAACAACCACAGACAGGGAATCTCAGCAAGGAAAGAAAAAGGGATTGACAGCCATGCATAAAGGTCCCTGGGACTGCTGTCATCCTCGGTGCATAAGAGCTGGCAGCGGTGCTAACTCCTGGCACAACTGACCCACAAGGAGCCAGCGTTTCAGACGCTGTCTGCAGCAGCAGCACGGCGGCCGGCTCAGACCAGAGCTCCTGCTAGCGTTCTGCGGGCAGATCAGACCAAACTGCACCAGACCCATGACATTCGCGCTGAGCGGTCAGCCCCAGAGAACCACTACAAGGAAAGCCAATTGCTGTGTGGACATACGAATCACATTGAAAAGCAGGTCAGGTAAAAAAAGAGCCATGGAGAGGGGTCTGAGCCCCTGGAACCCCCTGACAGAGCATATGAAAACAAAAGGCAGCTGGAAATGAAGCAGAGGGAAAATGTCTAGGGACAGATGCAGCAGTAATAGCATGGATAGGGGCTGAGAACTGGATGGGCTCCATGTTTTGTGAGAGCCCTGATAACCGCTAGAGGGAGGACGGCAAACAGTCCAGCAGCTGCAGCCTGTGGGCCTCTTTGTGTCGGAGCCCAGAGCACCCTCTTTTCCTTGTGCACACAGGGCTCCACCCTGCGCTCTGCGCAGCCGGCCTTGCAGCAAGAGCTAGTTTGGCAACAGGGTGCCTGCCTGCCTGGTCCTGTTACCCAGCCTTTGCCATCCCCACCCTCCTTTACCAAATGCAGTCGCTTCATTGCCCCCCAGTCGAGGCTTAGCTGTTTGATGCAGGGATAGGAGAAGCATCAGGTCTTATCTAGCCTGATTTGCAAGAGACTGAAGATCACCCCTGCATAATGGCTGTTTGGTGGCCTCTGGAAAAAAGCACTTGGGTCTTCGTCCTGTTCCAGGGGCAGATCCACACACCCCAACCAGCATAAACTGCAGCTCAGCAGAGGGGAAAAAGGGACGACAGGCTATGGAGACCCCCCCCCCCCCCCCCCCCCAAACAGAGGGTCCCCTTTGGGGCAGAGGAAGGCATGCAGGCAGGGGACAGAGCATGTGCATGGCATGGCACGGAGGGAGAAGCTTGCCCTTCAGCTGCCCAGGCAGTACCTTTAGTCTTCAGGGCAGTCAAATCCAGTCCGCTTCACCAGCACTAAAGTCACTTAAGCCCTTTGCGCCAGTCACCGGGGTGGGACTTTCCTTGGAAAGCTGACCCTGCCGTAGGGGCACATGGGTTACGCTGCGGGCAGGCTGGGACTATCACCTCTGCTAGGCATCAGTTACAGCAAGCTCTCCACAGAGGCATCCCACATCCTCCCCTGCACGGAGGACCCAGCACCACATTGCCCAGCCTCCAGCAGAGGGATGGGAGCGTGGTAATCCAGCTCATCAGCTTTGGTAGCAGTTAGCACTTGGATGGTACAGAGCAGTCCTAGTGCTTTTCTTGGCACTGTGCAATCAAATGGTGGTTTTCAGAGGGAGCAGAAACAGGCAGAGCGATAACAAAGCAAGAGACTTGCTTACCCACGACACCACCCGGCCGTTGAAACAGGGAAGTTTGGCATTGTCATCTGAGATTTCTTCTTTCACCACTCTGCAGAGAGGAGAGGAGGGAGGCAGAGCTAGATGCAGAACTTCAGAGCAAAAGGAGACTTTCTCCAAGTCATGTGTCTACACTGAACAACAAACAGTCCAGGCTTGGGCAGGGGACAGAGAGAGAACCTGCAGCTCCCTGCTGCTCACCCTAACACCAGCCCCCCCCCCCCCCCCAGCCACAACTGACAGGCTGGAGGGAAGAAAACAAGGGTAAAACAGACTCTCCCATGTGCCTCCAGCTGTTTTGCCCCCAGATTCATACTTTAATCAGTCAACAAAATTCAGATTCACATTTTTACCAGTTCGCTTATTTCTAAAGAAATACCTTCTTTATAATGATCTGAAATGATCACAGTCTATGTCAAAGACTTTTAATACGTGAAAGTGAAATATATTAAACATGCTGCCTCCCAAATGTTACTGTCACTTTTAATTACATACATAAAATTTCAACATCACTTCAAGCTTTATAGTTGTGCCACAATGTCATGTTCCTGTATTACACAAACAGCTACATTATTACTAGCGTTCACAGTGAGGGAGTGCTGATAATTTTGTTTTTTCCAATAGTAAAAAGTTCTGGTTTCTTTGGAGAGAAAATTAAAAATTAAATATCATTGGGCACCTGAGTACCTTTGCAACAGTAAGCCTGCAGTCGACTCAACTTGCAAATTCATCAGATACAGTTCATACTTTGATAAATCAAATTTAATCGCAAAATGGGCTTTAATAAGTTCATTTTCCTTCCTACAAAACCACAACATTTAAAGCATTCTTATTTCATACGAAGAACTCTTATAAGTAACTTGCGATATTTCTAAATTTCCACTTCCAAGCTACATCTAAAATAGCTTGACACACGTGCTGAAGAAAAAACAAACAAACAAAAAACATGTAGCAGCTAAACAATGAAAAAATTATGTTTGGAAGGAAAAGTATCAAACAGGAAAAGAACAAATGCAAAACAAAAGGAAATTCACATTAAGCAAAGTAGCTTGTAAGTAACTAACATAGTAAAGGAAGGTAAGATCACTTCAGGAGCTCCCAAGGGTCCTCAAGCCAGTCCCCAATTCACAGAGAATGGAAGAGGATGCAGCTGGCCCTAGTGCTGCGACCTGCTGCCCCAGCCTGTCATGCAACCCAGCCTCTGCCATCAAGACTCAGCATGCCGGGGCTTGGAGAAACAGGTACTCTGGGCTACAGGCTGCGTTTACTGGGGCACTGACAGCTGCCCAAACAGTCACTGAAAATAGGACAGCAAATCACATCAACGCTCGCAAAGCATCAGGAAAAGGCAAACGAACAATGCTTGAACGCCAAAACCTGGGGAGCAGGCTCTGCTCCACCCTGCCAGCCCCGCTTGTCCCTCCAGTGACAAACGCGCTCAGCTAAGGGGCGATCCGCAGGCTGAGAGAGAGCAGGTTGCCAGGTCTTCGCTGGCAGCTGGTGCTCATGATCCCTGCCTAACGTGGAGAGCCAGCAGAGGCAGTGGACAAATGCTATCCATCCCCAGAAGGCACAGACTGGCAGGTCACAGACTGAGCAGTCTAATCCACTTCCGAGATGAACGTTAATTCCTCTTGCACAGATGGAGGAGCAGGGAAAAGCAGGAAAGGAGCAAGGAGGCCAGATTAAAACTGCCAGCCTAATGCTTCTTCAGGCCGTGTTCCCCTTGCCAGCTCTGCCCAAAGCTCCTGCAGTCCAGGATGAGCATCAAACACCGTCAGTCTCCTCGGGAAACCCATCTCCTTCAGTGCCCTGGCCAACCCTTTCACATGCAGGCAAGTTGTTGTCTCCTCACTTTCAAACAAACAGGCATACACACCACGCAGGCAAGCTGTTGTCTCCTCACTTCCAAACACACGCATGCACCCTAGCCTGGCTGCACTAGCATCCATTCATACTGTCGCCAGTAGCCTGGACTTCATCCAATTCCTAGAGAGAGCTTCAGGCAGAGCCAATTTTCAGTGCTGCGTGCTGCTTCCTCAGGAACACAGAATCCTGTCTGTGGGTGAAGGGACAGGGTGACATATTTGCAGGGTCAAGGTGACCAGCTGCTAAGCACAAATAAACTAATCTGCTCTCAGCGGGCACAGAGCAGATCAACTCCCATGCACACCCTTGCCTATCCTCAGCTACGACACCTGATGAAGAACAAACTGAAGAACAAACTGCGTCTATCCTGAGAACCGATGCTCTCATCACTCCTATTACTCTGCAGTTGCCCCAGACATCCCAGGGGTCAGCTTCACCCTGGAGCAGTTTTCTCCCTGCCCGACTCCGCGAAGTACTCCCTACCCCAGCCGATGCATTATTTATCACTATTTATCACTCGGATGCCAGAGCACAATGAATTATATATTTAGAATCCCCAGAGCACAGACTGATAGCGCTGGGCTGGAGTCGGGCACATGCCGAGCGAGAATCTCTCCGCAACGCTGCTCACGTCCGTCAATCCTCGCGGTCTCCAAGCTATTCGAGTCCTGCATTCCTCTCTAGCCTCAACCCTGAGATAAAATATTACTCCTCGCTATCTCTCACCACTCTGTTCAAGTCACACTTCCCACCGTGAGTTCACATGCAGAGACTTCAGGTTCCTGTTAGAAGCCACCAACTGAGCAGCCTCTGGGGGAGCTGCGTGCGGTGCCACGTTTTCTCCTGCAGGGTTGCAGGGGGAAGCAGCCATGAAAGGAAACTCTCCCTTGGATCTGCTGGGATGAGCCCTCAGTCGATGGGACCTGAGCCTGGGAATCCCCAAAAAACAGACCCAAAAGGAGTTCTGGCTCTCTTGGTTCTCAAAAAGCCTTTCTATTTGGTGGGAGCCACCACAGCTCAGAGAAAACATCTGCCCAAAGATGATTTCAGAGGGACTGCTTTTAGCTTACCATCCATCAGGGCAGCCTGGTTTCAGATTTTCCCAGGTTTAGGGATCTGCTGGGGGTTGGGCATAACACGGCAGAGAACAGATGCCCTCACTAATCAGCGAAAATTGCCTGGTACAGAGAAACAGCCTGAGCTTTGCCCAGACGAGCCTGCAGTCAGCCTCTGCTACGCAACAAAAGCGCTCTGCTTCGCTCTGCAGAGAACCGCTCCGCGCGCACGGCGCTCGCAGCCCCTCTGCCTGTCCCCGGAGGCTGGCAGATGCGGTGCGGCCAAACTGCTCGTTCAGCGTCTGGCCCACAGGCCCAGCGCTCCCAAATACTCATCTGCGTTGAATTTTCCAACAAAGAGACCTGCGGGAGGGAGAGAGGGCGGGAGGGAGAGAGGGCGGGCGGAGGGTTACAGGGGAGGCAGGGCGAGTGGGCGGATGATTCAGCCTCCATCCCCAGTGACACTGGGGCGGCCTGTATGCGGGGCCAAGCCGAGGGGGAGGAGGGGACAACTCTCGGGTTGCTGCCGGAGCCAGGCCTGGCTTTGCAGAGCGTTTGGGGAAGCAGGGCTGCCAGCACTGACACAAACAGCACATCTGCTCCTATGCAGCTGGGGGAGGGGAGAGGAAATCCAGCTTCGGCCCGGCCCCATCCTATCCCCCCACCGCTGGCTCCTCCGGGAGAGCCTGCGGATCCTCTCCCAGCGACCTGGGAAGATGCCACGCTCCCAGCTCCCCGCCCGCTCTCTGCCAGCAAGAGGGGCCAAGAGGAGACGGAGCTGGCAGCTTGCAACAAGGATGCCGAGACGGGTGAGAGGGAGGCGAGCAGACACTTCCTTCTCTAGGGAGCCCCAGACTGGCTCAGGAAATTAGAGGGTATTTTATATCAGAGTCATGTCCTAGGAATGAAGGGAAGGTGGGAAAAAAAGAGAGTGCGCGCAGGAGAGAAAGGCAGCAATAAAAATCAAATCTCAGAGACTGCTGCGCTGTTAGAAACCCCTGGGCTCCACAGACATTACCAGCTAGCTGAGCGTGCAGCTGCTCTGCTCCCGGCCTCCCCCATTTCCCTTCGGTGGCCTCCAGCCCAGACGAGACTGCAAGCGAATACAAGGGAGTTTCTAGCTTTAGCCAGCTCCGGCCTCTCCTGAGCAGGACCCGCTAACCACAAGGGGGTCACAATGAAGAAATAAGATGGCGTAACACAAGCCAACGTGCTCAGGGAAAGCAGAAATCCAGGAGACATTAACAAAGGCTCAGACAGGAGGTTCTGAACCTCCGATTCAGAAGCACGCTGGAGCTCAGCAGCAATCACTGCTCGTCTCTGGGGGTCCCCACCCAGATTCTTCCATCTAAGGCCTCCTGACAGGGAAGCTATTCAGAGAGACGCAATCGCGGGACACAGGAGTGACCAGAAAAGTAGAACTGGGAGCTGAGGAATAAAGATTGGGGGGGGGGGGGCGGCAGCAGCAAGAAGAAGCACAAGAAAAGACAACCCCTCAAGCACGTTAGGCATCTCAATGGCAAGGATAACAAGGGGTTTGTTACTAGGGGAGGCGGAAAGTTTGAGAAGATAAAATTAAACAGTGACGACTGCCCATTAAAGAGCTAGAAAGATGTAACGGTGTAGTAGAGCAGATAAAGAAAAGCAAAATCTGCTCCTTCATTTAGTTCCGTTATTGAGAGGAAAGATCTTAATGGAGCAGTAACATTTCTTTCAAGATCGCAAAGGCCAGAAATTCAGTGCTGAAGTTAATCTACTATAAACCCCCCAAAAGTGCACAGCTTAGGTAGGTCTCTCCCATGACTTTAATCACCCCCACCTATTACAGGCCACAGAACCACCTTGGGGTGGGGGGGGGGAAGGAGGCATTCCTACCTAACAGCACAAGCTTCAGGGACTAAAACGCCACAAATGTGATCTCATTTTCAAGACCTGTAGTAGTACATACCCCTTAGGGCAGGGATGTTTTGTGCCCCAACAAATACAGATTAATGACACGGAATAACAAAAGGAAGCACCTTCATGTATTACTGCCCAAACGTGAGCATCTCCTAGCTCTAGAGCAAAATCCTCCTTCCTCCAGCAAGATCAGATGCTGGGGCCAAAGGGACGAGCTTTGCAGCAATTT